AAAATCTGGCCAACTAAGAGTTTGGTTAATGTAGGTCTTAGAGGATTCCAATTTCTTTTTTAAACGTTGGGTACTGTGCTTATCATCACCATCTCTGTGCCCTCTACACTGCATTGTAACAAACTTTGTGTCTGTGTTCCGTTTTTATGGTAGCCCTTACTTTATGGGCTTTTCCCTCTCTTTTATTATCTTGGATTAGTTGTAACCAAAATTTGTTTTTTAAGCCAGAGGTTAGGGGTTCAAAATACATTTTCCCATAGAAGCGGGGCATCTGGGTGGCTGTCGGTTAAGCGTCCAGCTCTTGATTTTGGCTCAGGTCATGATCTCAGGGTCCTGGGACTGAGCCCTCTATCAGGCTCTGCGCTCAGCTGGGAGTCTGCTGGGGAATTTGTCTCTCCCTCCCTCCCTCTGCCTCTGTGCCCCCCCCCCACTCTCTCAAGTAAATCTTTTAAAAATATATATGTATGTGTGTACACACACACACACACTCTCTCTCTCTCCCATGGAAACAATGATAATGTGGTTAAACTAAAACTTTTCAAAAATCCATTAAACCCTTCCAAAGTTCTGTAGTTGAGCACAGTGGTGAGGCTGAAGTTCTCTTCAGGTTTTTTCGCCAACCATTTCTTTTGCACACCTCTCCCTCCACCCCAGTGTCCCAGTTCTCTTTAAATGGGAAAATGCCACAGGGAGCCATCTCTTAGCCACCTTTGGCTTTTTTCGTGATGGGTCAGTATCTGCCCACTGAGAAGATAGAGCTAGGATGAGCTGTGAAGTCAAATGAACCAGCTAGATTTTTATGCACTAAGTTTATCCACTGAAGTGTCTGTATTTATTTTGGGAACATAATAAGAACTCCTCGTCTGACGTTAATTAACTTGCAGTGGGAAGGAGAGCTACTGAAGAGAAGAAGAAAAAGAATTTGGCAATCCATTGAACTGACTTAATTATAAAGCAGGCTTTCAAATGAAAGTATACAAGTCAGTGATACCCATTGGTGCTGGGTGCTCACAGAATAAACAGTCAGAAGGGACTTGGGTCCTGGGCACCCGCGTGGCTCAGTTGGTTGAGTGTCGAACGCAAGCCCTGAGTTGGGCTCTGCAGTCAGTGTGGGGTCCACTTGTCCTCTCCCACCCGCTCCGCCCCTCCATCTGCTGGTGCATGCGTGTGCTCTCTCTCTCTCTCAAATAAATAAATAAGATCTTGGAGTGGGGGCGGGGGAGAAGGGGGCTTGGGTTCACCCATCAGAATTTGATGTTGGTGCTATGTATGTGGGTGCCTGTTGCGCAAACACTGAATGAGAAAAGCCATCAGATATTGGTAGGAAGGAGATGGAGAGAGTATGACAGAGAGAGACCAGCATAATGAAAGCAGTGTGTCACTGGGCTGAAGTTTCCATTGGCGAGAATTTCTGACTTACTGCTTTGTAAACTCAACATAAACTGTCAGATTCGAGGATTGTCTGATCTCAGGAAATGTTAGCACAGAAAATCAACTTCTGTCTGAGTCGGCAGAGCTGGTGTGTATGCTTCAGCTCTAAATATAGAGGTTGTGGAATTAGGTGGGCAAGCGATGGAGGGGCAACTCTGATAAAGAACTCGAGGGGGAATTAATTGTAGTCATAATTAATCATAATCATAATGCCATTTCCTCCAACTTCTTTGCCCTTTAGTGTCAATGAGAACTCCTCAGTGATGCAGGAAAGTTGAGATTTTTAATTTTTTTGGTATTTATTTATGTCTAGAAAAATTGAGATTTTTTTTTTTTTTAAACTGAAGAAATAAGGAAACTCCACTCTTTCTAAGGCTAAAGATAAATGGACTCTAGGGCACTGCCAGCCTGTGGCATGAAAACCTCACGTCTGAGCTGCTGGGCTGGGGCCTCCTGTGCTGCCGGCTTCATGGAAATAAGTTAGTAGAGCGCTGGTACAGCAGTGGTTCACTGAAGTGGGCAGTGAATTGATAGCTCATAGCTCTACTAGTAGGTGCCACAAAGAACCTGGGATTCACGCACGTTTTCAGTCCATTTCATTTCGCCTGCTCTCTTACCTATTTGGCATTGTCTCAGACTCCCTAGGCCACCCCCTGGTCTGCTGCTCCCAAGAATTGTTGGCTCACAAACCGCAGCATAATTTACCCTAACTCCTGATTTTTCCTCAAGATCTTTGTACTTCCTGCTTGGAGGGGGCCCAGCTCTTCGGCCACCATGGTGACTGATAGCACTCCCATTTGGTGGTATCGCTTTGCCAGAGTCACACCATCTCCCAAACCATTGTTCCCTCAGCTCTAAAATGAAAGGGTGGGTTTGGTTGGTTCTCTTGCTGCTCCCTGTGCTAAGGATCTGTGCCTCAGCTAGCTCAGACTGAAGACAGCTGCCTTCTTTTTTTTTTTTTTTTTAAAGATTTTATTTATTTATTCAAGAGAGAATGAGAGATAGCACATGAGAGGGGGGAGGGTCAGAGGGAGAAGCAGACTCCCTGCTGAGCAGGGAGCCCGATGTGGAACTCGATCCCGGGACTCCAGGATCGTGACCTGAGCCGAAGGCAGTCACTTAACCAACTGAGCCACCCAGGCGCCCTGAAGACAGCTGCCTCCTTAAGGCTGACCAAGAAGGATAGAGTGGCCAGTCCTGGAGGGGACTGCACAAGGCAGGGAGGCCGGGCTGCTCATTGAGTAGATGAGGACCTGCTCACAGCCATGTGCCTAGTAAGTTACAGAGGGGTAGAGAGAGCTTTGTCTTGATACTGCTTTCCAGAGTTATTGATTAGCATTATGCATGATTACTCTAAAATTAAAAGCAATTGGGCATAAGTTTACTAGGCATCCCTATTGTAAAATGATACCTTGCTTGAATTTTTTCCTTGCCTACCAAGTACTCTCTATAATGCTTTCAGTTAAATGGGGGAGCAGGATCCTTAAAGGGTAAATACCTTGGAATTTTCTTTCTTTAAAAAAAAAGGCTGTGAATTGCATTTCAAAGCTTGGCTAAGCATATGGTCAGCGCAGAGCATCCCACAGTTTACTAGGAGTTCTGAGAGCTGTTCCAGAGTTTCTCCTCTTTGCTACAGGTAGGAAGTGTCTGACATTCCAAAGAGCATTTGTGCAGTAGTGTGCTCCCAGCTTCACTGCACAGGATGCTGCTTGTTCTGAGTCCTGTCCCTCCGTCCATCGCCCCCACCCCCACCCCTGGTGCAGGGAAAGTATTTCCAAGCCGTGTTTGCATTTGGCCATGTGATCTTGCCTTATTCAGTGTTAAATAAGGTCTGCTTTGGTTGCTTTAAAAGACTACAGTTTATACATAGTACTGATCTCGTCTTACTGTATATGCAGGGATCTTTTTTTTTCTTTTTAAGATTTATTTATTTATTTGAGAGAGAGAGCAGGAGGAGTGGCAGAGGGAGAGGGAGACAAGCAGACTCCTCTCCAAACAGGGAGCCCAAAGCAGGGCTCAATCCCAGGACCCTGAGATCATGACCTGAGCCAAAATTAAGAGCTGGCCGCTTAACTGACTGAGCCACCCAGGCGCCCCTATATAGGGATGTTTGATCAGTGAGGAGCTTGCCTCTGTGACCTGCTAAGGAAATCTTTGTAGCTGTGCAATCAAAAATAATTTGTTGACTCAGTGATTGAAAAGGTGAGTTGCTATTATAAGAGACAGCATAGGGGCAGTACCATAACCTTTCTCTCTTTAAAAAAAAAAAAAAAAAAAAAAATTCTGGGGCGCCTGGGTGGCTCAGTCAGGTATGTGTCTACCTTCAGCTCAGGTCATGATCCCAGGGTCCTGGGATCGAGCCCTGCATCAGACTCCCTGCTCAGCAGAGAGCCTGCTTCTCCCTCTGCGCACCCCCCCCCCCCCCCCGTCTTCTCTCTCCATCTCTCTCAAAAATAAATAAAATCTTAAAAAAATTCTGTTAAAATTATTTAATATCTCAAACACCTAGAGAAGTACAAAGAATGATATAACACATTCCCTCTGCACATTACTGTGAAATTGATCATTGCACTTTCTATCCCTCCTGCCAGCCCTCTTTTTCTTCATATCTTTCACTCTCCACCAAAGATTATAATTTATTTCATTTAGTGTCTTGACCCCACTAAAATGTAAGTGTCATGAGGGCAGAAAATTCTGACTTTTTGGTTCCCTGCTACACACCCTATTAGCCAGTGGCTGGCATTGTTCACATTATTTGCATATTGCCCAATATTGATTGATTACATGCATTTTCCCATGTTTGCTTTTTTTCATGAAGTAGAGTGCATTTTGGGGCTTTCTTTGCAATTGCAGACTTTCCCCCAAATCAAACCTACCTTCTTCCTTACCTTTTCAGAGTTAACTAGTATTGTACACCCATTAATCAGTATGTAGAATTGTCTTCAGGTGTTGAGTTATTTATATAAATGTTAATATAACCTCCTGGTTTAGCTCTGAACTACATGCAGCACTGGGGTCAGGGGACAAACCCAGAGAAGTCCTGGTATGAGTGGTAAGCCGAGCTCCCCCAAAACCTCTCTAAGGAGGACTTTCTATGTGCCTTGAATAAATGCTGAAACAAGCAGGGTGATTCATGTACCAGACAGCAATTAAGCTTTAACATCAAAGAATGAACGTGTCTCGGGTTTCTCAATTAAAGTTTAAGAACTAGATGCACTTAATGTGTCTGTGCCCGGAAATTGGCTATTTCTTTGCAGTTTTCTCCAAATAAGGGGGTCCTAATATATTAGTCCAATCAAAAAATCTCATTAACAAAGTTTAAATGGCTCACTATTCTCAGTAAAACTTTTTTCCTTCCTTTAGTTGAGACGAGAGAAGATCGACCTTGAAAATACTTTGGAACAAGAACAGGAAGCGCTAGTTAATCGTCTCTGGAAAAGGATGGACAAACTTGAAGCTGAAAAGCGGTTTGTTTAGTCTTGCTGTTCAGTGTGGGGGGTGTGCATGGCCAGGGAACTGCTCTGGGTGTGGCTGACGAATAAGAAAGGGGCGTTTTATTTCCTTGGGTGAGCGTTGTGCAGTGGCAGTATCGTAGCCAATGAGGTTTATCTGAGGCGTGATTATTGCTAATTAATTCCTTGGGTGATGCATATCATTTTAATTTGCCAAACCAAAAAAATGTTGAAAGCCTTCTGAACTCTTCTCATGTTGGTCATGTCTTTATATTTCTCTCTTATAGTCCCAGTAAAATTTCCTTTCATTTGGGAAAAGGCTATGAAGAAATTAGTCACCTTCAAATTGTTCGGGAGAGATGGTTGCAATTTCAGCTTTTTACCTTACTGAACTGGCTTCCCCGGTTTTCTCAAGTGCTTAGGATGTGTACTGTGTACGGTTAATTATGACACATCTCTAGAATGTACTTCATCAGAAGGCTGAGATTATAATAGGAAAACTATTATCAATTGACTTGAAAACTTACTGTAAATACTTGTACATAGTTAAGGTTAGGAATTGTTTTGCTAATGTACGTGGATGTGAAATGTCATTCAACAGCAGACATTTCTTGAGCCCCTTCGTGCCCTAATTTTTAAGTACCACATACATTGGGGGGTGATGGAGCAGGACTTGAAGAATGTCAAGGGTTTCTGTATGTGGGATGTGTGTGTGGAGGGGGGTGTAGAAAGGGAGTTTTTAAAAATATTCATTAATCTACTTCACTAGGATCTTTTATTTGCTAACCAGAGGCTTTGGCCATAACTATTTGGTTTGGATGAACATCCATAAGTTATTTTGAGTTCATCCCTAAATTTGCAAAATATAGTCCTATCACAGGCTTTAAGAAAAGTGAAAATTAAAGCTATATCTCCAGGGAAATACTCAAGCCGTAGTTGAATTGAGTATGCTTTGCATTATTGTAGTGGTACTAAAAAAATTGAATTATGAAAAGGTATTTAATATAATAAATGCAGGGACCATTACAATATTTAACATACCAGTTTTCTCAACAAGGGCAGGCCTGAAGGTGATTCACAATTTGCATTTGGGCAAACTTAAAGGTAAAAAGTTAAAAGCCAAACCAAACCAAGACCCTAGTAGCTTATGAGAGGGGACATAGAGGTCCATTGCCAACCTGTCTTCCTTTGCAGAACGCAGTTGGAGGTTTTATATGTATAAGTACCAAAGTATTTTGTTAAGCAATATGAAGTATCATGTGGTTGGTGAAAAGCCATTGAGTATTCATGTTCCTTGTGCCTCAAACTAACCGTAATTGGTAGAGAAGGTGGGACCACCAATTATTAACCCAGTGATTGTGGTTTGGTTTTGTTCTTTATCTTTTACCTGTGCTCTGACCAGAAGCAAAGGGCCTTCAGCCCAGTTTGCGCCACCCTCAGGATTGGTTTTTCAGGAAGGAAATTTTAGAAGTAGAGTCTGTGTGGTGTCACCTTCGACCATAGTACATAGTTGGGAAGCGTTGACCAGAAAGCATTGAGGGTGAAATTTCTTTAGTATCTCCGTTTCCGCAAACAGATGTGATTCATTTAGTCAGCAGGTAATTCTGAGTGCCTACTCTATGCCAGGCATAATAATCAGAAGCAAATGCTGGAGACTTTTTCACTAATGCTTAATTACCAGTGGTCATTTAAAAGAAAAAAAGGAGGGTGGATCCTTCAGCTCTGCCCTTTGACCTTGACCTGGATACTAGGTAAGGGAGACCAGAAGTAGATATAAAATGGGCAGAGCCTGAGTTCAACAACCCTGTGAATTCCGGTGATTCACAGGAGCTTGCTATGAAAATAAACCCTCCAGCTAGTGTGTTGTTTTGTCTTTTAAGGCAAACTGTTTTTCATTGTTGGAATTTTTCTTTTCACTGAAGAATCCTGCAGGAGAAATTAGACCAGCCTGTCTCTGCTCCCCCGTCGCCTAGAGACATCTCCATGGAGATAGACTCTCCAGAAAACATGATGCGCCACATCAGGTTTTTAAAGAATGAAGTGGAGAGGCTGAAGAAGCAACTGAGAGCCGCTCAGTTACAGCGTATGTCACCTCTCATTTCACTGGTCTTCTGTGGGCACAATTAACCCATTTACCAAGCACAGGCTTTTACCAGTATTTACCATGGAATTTGCATAGATCAAATCCATCCTGTATTTCATTACCAATACATGCGTGTAGAAATCTTTCTATCATCCTGGAATGGATTATTTTTGAAAGTATTATAGTAGGACAGGCAAATAGTTTAGAATACTTGCTGAAAATCAAATAATTTCAGAAGGGTCCAGAATCGGGTACTATTTTTATTCTTCTCCTTGTGTTCATCTCTAGGATTGTAGTCACAAATGTACTTTGGGGAATTAAGGCAGAGAATAGTGTTTATCGTCCTTACTACTAAATTTTAGCTTCAGCTAACATTTGTTCATCGTACTTAAAGAATAAATGCTTTAAAAATGTAGCCTTATTGTTTGGGAAAATGACCAGATATTGAGTTGGAAATCAGAGGAACTAGATTTCTGAACACTTGATTAGGTCACTGTGCATTTGCTTGGGTCTTTCCTGTTTCTGCTCACAGGCTGCTCAGATACATTTGAGTAGACAGTGTGGCGCAGGGAAGAGTGGCTCACCCTCTCGCCCCTGACCCCTCGCTGCCCATTTCTCACGGTTAGACATTTTTTTATTGATTCTTCCAGGTACATGTATGTGTCTGTATAAACTTATTTTATACTAAAAGCAGCACGGTGAACACACTCTTTTGTATTTTTCGGTTTGTACTTATAGTATCTTGTAAGTTTTTTCTTGCAAATACACGTAGAGAGCTGTCTGGTTCCCTTTTTTAAAAGGCTGCTTAATATTTGGTTCTGTGGATACGCTAGCGCCTTCTTATCTACACATCTTCGCTTTCCATTGTGTCAGCCCGGTCGGGAGGCCGGTGGCCCTCCTGCCTTACCATCAGAAGGGCAGAAGAAGCCTGATGATATGTCACAATGCCTGTGTCATTCCCCACACTTCATCTCCTCACGTAGGCATTATATCATGTAGCATCATCACAAGGAGAGTGAGTACAGCACACTAAGATATTTTGAGAGTGTTGGGGAGGAAGAATTCCCTCTGCCTTTCAAGATTCTTCTGGCTGGACTAAGAATCAAATTGACGTGAGACAGATTAACAGGAGAAAATCAAATTTAGTAGCATATGTATGTGGGACTATACACAGACATGGAAATTCCAAGGGCAGTCAGGCAACGGGAAGCTTATATGAGCTAAAGAGAGGGATGGGGGTCTGAGGATACAAAGGGAGACAGACCATTAGCAGGAACTTGAGAGGAGAGGTTTAGAAAACAAAGGTTGCCCTATTATGTAGATAAGTTTTCTAGATAAAGAAGAATCTCTGTGAATAGCTGTCTTCCTGATAAAGGCAGGCAGTTGAGGGGGTAGTAAAGAGCTCTTCCTGAATCTGCTGGGTGTTAATTGCTTTACTTCAAAATACTGTTCCTGCCAAAGTGGCCCATCTTGGAGTGGCCTGCCCTGGGCCTCTACAAGAGAAACCAGGACCACGTCATATAGCTCTTATTACATTATATTGTTATAATTGTTCTAGTTTATTATTACATTGTTAATCTCTTACTGTGCCTAATTTAGAAATTAAACTTTATCATAGGTGTGTATATTTAGGAAAAAACATAGTATATTCAGGTTTGGGGTCATCCTCAGTTTCAGGCATCCACTGAGGGTCTTAGAACGTATGGCCCATGGATGCTGTATATCATAATTTATTTAACTAGTCCCATACCAATGGACCCGTTTTGGTTGTCATGCTGCAACCACAATGAACATCTGTGTCCCCACATTTGACACCTGAGCAAGAACACCTTCAGGATGAACTCCAGAAGTGGATTTATGGAGTCCAGGGAATGTGCATTTAAAATTTCAGTGATTCTTACCTTTATGTTTTCTTCTCTAAAGTTCATTGCAAGTTCTGGTCCAGTAGTGCATCTGGGTTGGTGATTCAGGATCATCCTTGGAACCTGTAAGAAATAGTGTTAGTTTCCTCATGTTGCTGTAACAAATGACCACAATCTTAGTTGCTTAAAGCAACACAAATGTGTTAAAAGTGCAGTTCTGAAGGTCTGCGGTCCAAAATAGTCTCGTTGTGCTAAAATCAAGGTGTCAGCAGAGCTGGTTTCTTGTAAAAGGCTTTAAGGGAGACTCTGTTTCCTTGCTTTTCCCAGCTTTTAGAGGCTGCGTGTTCTGGCTCATAGCCCCTTCCCTGCTTTGGCAGCACTCCTACTGGCATCTATGGGCGCATCTTTTCACTCTGACCCCCTTCCTCCTTCTTATGAGACCCTGGGATGACATTTGCCCAGCCAGATAATCCAGGATAAATTCCCATCTCAAGGTCCTTAACTTAATCATATCTGAAAGTCCCTTTTGCCTCGTAAGGTAACATCATCCCAGGCCTCAGGGATTAGGATGTGGACATCTTTGGGGGTTCATCATTCTGTCTAACTTAATATGGGTTTCTGGGCTTACCCTAGGAGTAGAAACTTGTTCTCCATTCTTTTTAATACAAGGAATTCTGATGTGTACCTTGGGTTGAGAACCATGACATACATTTTATGAAAACAAATCAGTGAATTCTCAAATACTAGATATGTTAGGATATTTTTGAGGTTTTGGTGTGCCGGACAGACAGAGGTCTTTTCATGCCTTCCTGAACTCCTTTCAGTGCCATCGGCTTTCTTGTGTATACTTCTCTTGTGCCCCAGACAAAATCTTTAGAGGAAATTGAGGAAGAATTTTTCATTCCCTTTACTTTCTTCCTATGGCACTATTTGGTCTTTGAAGAGACTGCAGATGCAAACAGAGGCATCCATAAGTGCCATTTCGATTTTTGTGAGGGCAGAGAAAGCTGAATGGAAGGAGGGACACGTGGCACCCAGCTGGCTCACAGCTGATCTGGATTGGTTTAGAAGATGAGTTAGTGACTGAGGTCAGGTAGCCCGCCTCCCTGGGCTGCTTCTGGATACTTGGCTCCTCACCCTCCAGGTCTGGCTGTATCAGAACCTGAACCTGTCTCCCAGTAGGTCTCAGCTTGGGATGAACATAAGAATCCCCTGGGGACTGTTCAGTATAGTGGTGGAGAGGCTTCATTCACAGGATTCTGATCTGTTTGGGGTGGGTCTGGGCACCAGCATTTTCTAACTATAAACTTGAAA